TATAATAATTTATTATTAATAAAACCTTGTTGCAGCACTAAAGCAGAAAAATTAGATTTTGCATTAAATATGCAAAATATTTACATATGAATAGTTTTAGAGCCCTTTAATTGGCAGAATCTGATATTAATTTAGTTCTTACAAAAAATGGGTCCCAACATGGTTTGTGTGGCGTTGCCATAGTGTGACGTCATAGGCACAGATCCCCTGTCCTCTTGTTTGGAAATGGAAATATGGTCACCCTACATTAAACAAACTGTCCACCCGGGCTTTTGCACTGCACAGAGACGCTTCGCTGCCTACGACTGAACGTCAGTTGAGAGTCAGTCTCATGCAGACTGACCAATGAAGAGAGGGCCTCAAGTTAAGACCCTCTCCTCATTGGTCAGTCCACACGAGGTGGGTCAAAGGTTACTCTGGGTGGCTTACGTGTTGTCAGGCATTCAAGTATTGAGTATATTTACTGCATATTACAGTAAAATATTCTGTATGTGACCACATTATGGTGATCCTTGGGTCGTGATGATGGAGCCCTTGAATATTGTTGCCCAGGGTACAACAAAGTGTTAATCTGGCCCTGGTTCCGCCGTCACATTCCCGCAGAAACTGGTTGATCACACCGGGGCCAGACTACTAGCATGTGGTTTTACAACCACAATGTCCTCAGAAGCAAAAACGCTTTTAAAAGGGATGGAGGAGTCCTAACTGTTGCTGCAGGCGTGTTGTGTGAGAGTGCAGTTATATATATACTGGTTAATATATTTTTGGGTTCAGTTGCTTTCATGTGGCCTAATGTGAGTCTATTTGGGATCATTGGAATGATCAGCAGCATTTCTTGATGTGACTTTATGACAGTTGCCCAGGGCATCATCGCAAGGAGGATGGCATTCATTTACTTTTGTTTTATTTGGTATTTTTTCAGTCAGTTTTGGAAATAGTGATCAATTTTGATTAATTCACAGCCTATGTTTAATTACATTTAAAATAAATATTAACAGATGAGATCAAACAAAACAGATGAGAATTGCCCTTAAGCTGTTTAACTTGGACCAAGCATTTTAGGTCACAGATAGATGTAGCTTAGGGTCTCTGTCTATACACCTTATAAGACAATTTAGGTGATGGCATGTTGTTTTACTGCTATTGAACTGTTTTCTAATAATGTTGTGTTAAATAAAGTGAAGGAAGGAGAGAAATAACGTTTCCCTAGCAGTTTGCAAAAATTTCCCCATGTAATCCGATTAATCGATTAATCGTGTCGAGACCCCATCCGATTAATCGATTATCCAAATAATCGTTTGTTGCAGCCCTAGTCTGGGTATCATCAGACTTGACAACTCTGTCAGTGAAGCTCTCCACGAGGTCCAAGCTTCCTCCTTGTCTCGAGGTAATGGCGCATCCCAGTCACAATTCTCAGCAGTGAGCTCTCGTAGAATGGTCTTGCCTTGTATTAAAACTGGTGCTACAAACCCAAGAGGGTCGTAGAGACTGTTAATGATAGATAAGACTCCCCGGCGGGTATAAGGTTTTGTCTCCTGAGAGACACTGAAGACAAAGCAATCTGTTTGAAGGTTCCAGTTGAGCCCGAGACTGCGTTGCATCGGCACTGTGTCTGCATCGAGGTCAAGATCTTTAAGGTCACTTGCAGTCTCTTGAAGGAAAGGCTCTCATGACCTCCATCTTGTTTGCTGCAATCTTATGCAACCTCATGTTAGATCTGGAGAGGACATCCTGTGTCTTCTTTAACAAGTCGATAGCTGCTTCGACTGTAGGCAGAGACTTCAACCCATCATCTACATAAAAGTCTTGCATCACAAAATGCTTTACTTCAGGGTCAACCTGGAACCCACTTACCTGAACGGATTGATGCAGGCCGTAAATAGCCACTGCAGGCGAGGGGCTATTCCCAAACACGTGGACTGTCATGCGGTAGTCCACGATGTCTTTGGAGAGGTCTTTATCACGGAACCATAGAAACCTCAAGAAGTTTCTGTCCTCTTCTCTGACCAAGAAAGAGTAGAACATTTGTTCTATGTCTTCTGAGAATGCAACAGCTTCCTTTCTAAAGCGAATCAATACGCCCAGCAGTGTGCTGTTCAGGTCAGGCCCTATCAACAGCACATCGTTGAGTGACACACCATTGAATCGAGCACTGGAGTCAAAAACTTATCTGATCTTCTTTGGTTTCTTGGGATGGTACACACCGAATGTTGGTAAATACCATCGCTCTTCCTCCTCACCCAACGGAGGAGCCAACTCTTCATGACAATTTTTGAACATCTGTTCCATGAAGCCAAGGAAGTGTTCCCTCATTTCAGGCTTCCTCTCAAAGTTGTGAATGAGAGACTTGAGACGCTTCAGTGCCTGAGGCCTGTTGTTAGGAAGCTGCTGACGTGGACTCTTGAAGGGTAACGGGGCTACCCAGCTGTAATTTGTGTCTTTCTGTAGTCCATCCTTCATTATTTTCATAAATGAAGCGTCCTGAATCGATGGAGCAACTTGGTTATCCTCTTTGGTCCTTTTGAACACATTGCATCCAAGATGGTCAACATCGCAGGTGGACCATTGTTCAGAACATGTTGGAAGATGGTTTGCAACCTGGGTGATGCTGTACCTTTCTTTAATACAAAACACATTAGGGCACGGGTTAAAGATAGATGGCCTCCGCAGCTCTGTGGTATTTGTGTAGAAGGAGCTGATTGCTGATGGCCTATGGACACTGCCGAGACACACATTGCCCACAACAACCCACCCCAGATCTAACTTCTGAGCATAGGGCTGGTTGTGTGAACCATTCACCTGCTTGCAGACTTTATGTACTCTGATAACGTCCCGCCCTAAGAGAAGCATGATCTGGGCATTTGGGTCCAGATCTGGGATGAGGTGTGCCAGTGACTTTAAATGTGCATGACGAAGAGCGATATCAGGGGTTGGAATCTCATCCCTATTGTCGGGAATTTCCTTGCATTCTGTGAGACTGGGTAATAGAATACGGACTGTCCCATCAAGAGATTCCACCTCATAGCCACTTGCCCTCCTTCCTGATGATTGTTTTACTCCTGCACATGTTCTCAGTATGTACGGCGCACTTGGGCTTTTGTCACCAAACACTTAAAAAAAACTGTGAGCGAACTAACGACCTGTTGCTTTGCTCATCCAAAATTGCATACAGCTTTACTGCTTTTTCTCTCTTCCCAGCTGGATATACCTTCACGAGGCATATTTTGGAACAGGATCGGTCCATCATATCTCCCCGCAAACCTTCGTGCATTTGGCGGTGATGTCCGATTGAGGCAGAGTTTCAATTTCCTCTCCGCCATGGTCTGGAGCAGGGTCCTTCACTTCTATCCAAGGTGCAGGCCCCGGATGCAGAGCTGTGTCGTGCCTTTCACTCTTGCACACGGAACACTGCACTTTGACCTTACAATCCCTAGCAAGGTGCGATGATGCTGCGCAGCATCTGAAACACAAATTGTGTTCCTTCAAGAACATCTTGCGCTCTTCAATTGATTTTTCTCTGAATGCACGACATTTGCGTAATGGGTGTGGTTTCCCATGAATGGGGCATACTTTATCACAATCATCAAGCTTTGATGAGAATTTACTAAAATCAGAACTAGCTCTGGAGGATACGTTCATTTTACAAACTGAGATTTCTCTATGCTTGTTTGGCTGCCACGCTAACTTCTCAGTCCTATGGCTGATATCTGTCTGAGTGATGAAGTTGAAGCTTGGATCGTTGGCAGTGTTAGCCTCCTGGCAAACAAACTCTACAAAAAAGGTAAAGGGCGGATATGGCACATGCTCTCGCCGTTTGTACGATGCACCAGCTGAAGCCCACTTTTCTTGCAGACGAAAGGGGAGCTTCTGCACGATTGGGTTAACACCTCTTGCTGTGTCAAGGAATGGAAGTCCAGGTAGGTCTCCTTCATTCTTAGCGGAAAGAAGCTCCATCAGAAGATCACTCAACTTTGTTAACTTAACATAGTCTCGGTTTTCTACCTTTGGAAACGTTTCAATGCGCTTAAAGAGAGAATCCTCTATTGCCTCTGTTGAGCCATAGGTTCTATCGAGTCTTTCCCATATCATATCCAGCCCAGCTCCTGGATGATTAACATGAATTGCTCTGATCTGCTCTGCCTGTTCTTTTGACTCCTTACCAAGCCACTTTAAGAGAAGATCCATCTCTTCACTCGCAGTCAAATCTAAGCCACTGGTTGCAGAAAGAAATGAGCGTTTCCAGGCTCTGTAATTCTGTGGCTTGTCATTAAATTGAAGTAAGCCTGTAGACACAAGTTCACGGCATGCAAGATATCTCACAAAATCATTTGGGTTGGGGTTGCTATAGTTGGCGTTAGGAGAAATGGGATAGTCTGAGGAAAATGCACCCCTATAGTCATTTTGAGATCTCAGTTTCTGGGTTGGAGTAGCAGAACTATGTTCAAATCTTACTCGTTGAGACTCGTGGACATCTTCTTCTTTACAGATCTGAACTCCATGTGAGCTGGGGAATGACTGTTTTTATTGGCGTAACATTTTCATGCCGCTGATGCTCTGTCTCTGATACTTTGCTTTGGTCCGCAACATACTGTTGTGTCCGTTGAGTTGTTTCTAGAGGGTCGCAATCTAGTACAAGGTCACAACTACGTCTTTCACTATTGATATCAGCTGCAGCTTCCAACGCTTCTGCCTCTGCAATGGCTGCAGCAGTTTCTTTCTTATATTCTAGCATTTTCAGTGAGGCTTCCAATTTAGCCTTTTCTAGTTTTAGGTTTATTTCCTCCTCAGCATAAGAAAGACGAGCCTTTGCTGCTTCTGCGCGTGCTTGTGCCTTGGCTGCCGCAGACCCATTAGATGATGCACAGGAGTGCACAGAAGGAGTGTGCGAGTTTGTTTTTGACATGGTTGTTTCTTCTGACTTGGACTGAACAATTTCTTAGCGAATCTCTGCTTAGATGTGTTAATTGTCCATTAGTTGCTTGAGATGATGGTCTCCTTACCATCTGTCAGCGTTTCCACGTTATCTTGCCCGCTAGGAAGTGTGGTTTCACTGTACTGCCTCTGCTAGGGATGGGCAGTCAGCTAAACTCCTTCCCCACATCAAGACTCTGACGACACGATTCCCGGTTCACAGGTTTATTGACACAGGGAAAGGTGAAACTGTAACAAACAGTACAAGGCATAATCACTGTACTTATTCACCATGTACATATATAATGATGAAAATGTATTAACCCAGTTTCTTTTTAAATATGTCAACATGCAATGTCCATATGAATTACTTATCTTTTTAACTCAATTACAAACATCAAATTATGATTTTAACAAGTCTCGCAATAATGAATGGCTTTAATGTGTTTACTGTTCCCCTTTAACTAGCTCCATTAGCGATTGCTAGCTCAAACTGCACACGATCGGTTTTATCATTAAACTTACAAAAAAAATGAACTTACTCGAAAGAAAATGATTTATGCATGCAAATAACATATAAAACAAGTCTATACATACCCACAATGCTACCAAAGACATAGGATGTGTGTGGATGCCACTGGATTTATCCGGCTAAGGTCACCAAGCTGCACACGCCTTCTCCTTAATTCACAGACTTACTTCCTATTTACTGATGACATCATATCCTGTTACCAACTGCAGGTTTTTAAGGTGGCGCCAGGGAGTTACAATTGCATATTTAAAGGAGACATAACATGAAAAACTGAAAAACCCACTTTTTTATCCATTAACACAGTGTGTTTCACATTTTAAGTGTCTAAGTGAGCAAAAAGGCTTATATTATTCACTGGAGTTGCTATTTAGATATTTAATAATTAAGTTTTGGGCATATTTGTCCACCTGTTCAGTTTTTCAAATTATCTATTATATCAGTAATTTATTTCGTCAGGATAACTACCAAATATGGTCATGGCCCTCGGCTAAACACAGAGCCAATCCGCCATTTTTTCTTCTCGCTAAGATTTTTTGTAGTCCTATTGGAAAAATGCAGAATGTCTGGTTATTTTAGCCAAACACAGCTCAAAACTGTTCCTCGTTTTAAGGAAGGGTGGTGTGGCAGTATTTAAACCCAGAAGCTGATGACACAACTGCTAAAAAAAAAAAAAAAAAAAAAAAAAGTAGTGTTTCTGTGTGTGTGTGTGTGCGCCATAGACTGGTGTGCGCGCGTGCGCGTTCGTGTCTCCCAGGCTAGTAAGTACTGAAGGCTTCATCTATCTAAAAGGATCATCTATCTAAAAGGAGTCATTTCCATCTGAATGTGGCAGCAACGGGACACGGCAGCAGAGCGGTAAGCTTCATATCACTCTAAAATGTCGACAAACTTTACTTTAGATTTACGGGCATTAGCAGCACTAAAGCATTAGCATCTGACTTGCTATCACTAGCACAGTATGCTAGTAAAGTTAGCACCCAGATTAATGTGGATTTGGCAGATTTTCTTGGAATAAAACGTGATCTGGGATTTCTGATCAACGCCTTTTTTTTACACCAGATGATAACCTTCCACTGATTGTAACAGCAGAGAGCCTGTGTGTTAAGCCTGATTTATGCTTCTCCGTCTGCGTCAGTGCAGAGACACGCAACGCCATTATCCGTCCTTGCGTAGGGCTCCGGCAGGCACGCAAGTACTTACGGAGTCGAGCCCACTTTTTTAAACATCCGTCGAACGAGACGGATTACGCAAGCTAGTGATTGGTTGGTCCAGAAACCTGAGATCACTTCCATCATGACGCAATCTCCTGTAAATTTGTCAACAGTGCCGGAGTCGTGTGTAGAAAGAAGTAGATATGGACCAGTTCGAGGAACGTCTTCTAGCGGAGGAAGTACGGAAATACGAACATTTATACAATCCATCTTTAAAGAATTATAAAGATGCCCAGGTCATTTACAACTCCTGGAAGGAAATAGCCCGTATTTTGGAAGTGGATGTGGAGAAATGCATGAAGAAGTGGAGGAGCATGCGGGACAAATTTGTCCGAATGAAAAAAAACTTGAGGGGCACCAGTGGCGATCCAGGTGGCAAAAAGGTTCCAGCTTTTTATGTTTTGCTGTCGTGGTTGGAGCCGCACATAAAGCATAGACCCACATCTTCAAATTTCAAGGTAAGTACTTTAGCACGCGGTGTTTGTACTTCCTGTTTGTCTGTGCTACCAGCTACACATGGCGCTAACAAGCTGCAGTTCTAGTTAAAAGCTTTCATCAAAGTCATCCAAATCCATCTTATTATACTACTGTGATTACCTAAACCTATTAAAAAGTGTATTTGCATTATGTTTTTACCAGTGTATGTAAGTAATAAAGAGATAATTATATGCCTGTGTTTGTTGAACAACAGGCCCCAACTGAACCACCTCAGGACCAGGCCTCATGTGGATCCTCACAGGATGAGGCCCCATCACAACTTCAGGGGTCTTCACTGCCTGCCTCTCAACAACAGCAGGATGAGTCCTCACCGGATCCTGTGTCATCACATTCCTCATCAGCAGTAGCGGTTTTAGGCACGGGCAGACAGGGCAGTTGCCCGGGGCGGCATTTTTTCATGACACAAAAGGGGCGCACAAGCGCTGAGTAAAAAAAAAAAAAAAAAGGAAATCTGCGCCGCACCGAGGTTTTCTATTATCTGTCATATGACAGTGTCTGGATTGGAAACAGCAAGTTGGCGCCCCCTGCAGCTGCAGGCGCTCCTGCTGACTGAGAACGTTCACGTGCACCGTGTGTCTATGAAGAACAGGAAGGGGAGGGGTGCGGCGGGGGAATTAACCTCTGCGTCTTTCCCAAATGAAATGAGCGTGCAGGGGCTGAATCAACTGTATTAACATGGCTAAAGTCAATCACATCTTAACGTTCTTCCATTTTTCATTCATAATATCATAAACACAGGCCTTTCATTCTTTCAGGTTTCTCTGAATTGTGTGAAATGGCCGAATAAAAAAAGGAAAAACAAAACGATTTTGTGGTCACCCCCCATCAAGGTCAAATAGTTTAGTCCTGACTAAAGGAAACTTACTGAGTCAGGAGCCAAACAGAAGAGATGAACATAAAAAGGCTAAAACCACCAGTTGCCCCATTCAGGGGGAAAAAAAAGAAAAAAGAGGAGAAAGATAAAGGTATGTAGCTCTCATGATGCATGTTTTCAATTTTTTGAACCAGTTAACTGGGATTTTAACGGTTAAATGTGGTCAACTAATTGCTAACAGAGCTAATAGGGCTGAAATATTGAAACGAATATTCAAATGGTTCGAAAAAAGTCCTTGAATCGTTTTTTACTGATTCAAACTAGGATTTGTTAAATGCTCGCTGCAGCCTGTGGCCTGCCTGAACAACAACAAACACATGTTGATCATGTTCACATAATAATAAATAAAACAACTCTACAAGCAGAAGAAAACTCCCCAGTCACCACTAACTATCCTGTTTATTTATTGCAGATGGCTGCACTGATTATTTTTTTACATGATTTGTTCTGTAAAAGTTGGCATTTTTGGTAGTCTACAGTTTTTTATGTCAGTTTAAATTACAATTTCAGAGGCCATTCTAAAATATTATGGATCATGAGATCTATTGGAGATCTACCCCAACTTTTGGACTGCTCTGCCAGTCTCTGTGGCTCAAGCTGAGAGGAGCTTTTCAAAACTTGATCAAGTCATACCTGAGGTCAACTATGTTTCAGGGGCGGCTCACTAACCTGTCTCTGATTAGTATCAATCACTCAGTAGGGGAGCAGATTTCATATGATGACATTATTGATGACGTTGCATCAAGGTTAGGTTTTAATTTTAGTTTGTGTTTTCTATTCTAAGTGCAATGCTGTAGTGATTATCTTTAGTTTGTTATGTGTGAAATATTTTTGCTATTTAGAATATTTATTATATATTATGTTCATATATTCTTAATATTTAGTTATTGTTTGTTTTTGTATATTTGATTCTATATATTTTGATACAGTATATAATGTATATTGCTTTACATTCTGACAACTTCATAGTAATTAATGTAAATATGTGCAACTTAGAAAAATGAATGTTCAATAGTCGTTCTAATAAAACATGCCTGTTTGTAGAAAACATGCGTGTGTTCATGCAGGTGGGGTGGTGTGGTGGTGGTGGTGGGGGGGGCGGTTGGGGGTGGGGGGCGCTCAAAGGGGGCCTCGCCCGGGGAGTAATTCGATATAGAACCGCCACTGCTCATCAGCTTCATCAAATTCATCCCCATCTCTCCATGCCTCCCTTGCCCGAGAATCCGTTTCAACGGATCAACAAACAGCCAATGAGTTGCTAGAGTCCACCAGCACACCACGACCTGCTCTCAAAAAGAGGCGGCGCCAGCAGCATGTGGATGACAGCTTTTCTGAACAGATGGCCCGAATTGACAAACGTAGGAAAGAACTCAGTGAGATACTGCAGAAGGATGATGAATATGACAGGTTTGGGCAGGTTCTAGCGGACCTACTGAGGAAGGTCCCTGAACATAAGCAGGTGGTGGCCAGGCGCAACCTTTTAGCATGTGTGTGCGACCTTCTGGAGAATTGAAATGTGTTTGTGTTGAAAGTTTTTTTTATTAGCATGTTATTATTTTTATTCCTAGAAGTGTTTCATTTGCATGCTTCTTTTCTATTAAAAGCGAAGTCTGTTTTCTTCCACTTTCCAGTTTTGTTTGTCATTTTCAGTTATTTGGCATCAGTTTGCACACAGTATTATTTCGCACTCATTGACTAGGCTCCAAAAAGCAGATAAACACAAATTCTTGAAAAAATGATTCATACCCCAAGATAATGTCAGGTTTTCAGTTGAGATTTTTTAAAGGTTTTATTCACTCAGCTTCAATTTGTAGTTAATTCAACTAGCACTTGCACAACAACATATGAGCTGTACAATCATGTAAACATCAGTTAACAAAGCACCAGAAAAATGGACCTGGTGAACAGCAATAAAAAGAAAACAGAACAGTACCACCAGGCACTGATTACGATGGACAACATCTAGTCTGCGAGTGTGCCACGTGACACAGTCTCCTCCTGCCAGGACACAGCTCCTGCTGGTGACAAAAAGAATTGTGCCAGTTCATTTCTCACACAAACGGCATTCCTGTTTGAGCGGCTCTTGCTCATCATCTTTGTGTTGACCGGTAGCAGATTGGAGTCACCCTCCACCATTCTCCGCCAATCTCCAGGGTGCGCCACTCCTGCCGAGTCGCTGTCAGCAAAAGTGGGTGGGATGTATCGGCTCTCTGGTGTGTTCGCATTGTCACTGTATGCCAGGTAGTTGTGGAGAACCACACACGCCTTCACAACCTTGACCGCTTTATCTGGGTGGAACTCGATGGCCCTCCCAAGAATTCGCCAACGCGCTGCTAGGATCCCAAAGCTGTTCTCAATGACACGCCGGGCTCTGGAAAGGCGGTAATTGAAGATAAGCTTATCCTTGTCCAAATTATGTCCTGAAAATAAAAACAGCAGCATTGAGTGTTATTAAACAGAACATAACCACAACTTAACACACATGACACACTTATTTTAAATGTGAAACATATGGCTAGTCGCATACCTGGAAAAGGTCGCATTATGTTGATGTGCAGGTGGAAGGCAGCATCAGCAACTAGCACGTGTGGTGCTTCAGTCCTGGTTCCAGGGAGAAACGCAGGAGGTGGCAGGTTCAACTTGTTGTTCAGGAGTGTTGAACCAAAGTCACTTTCTTTAAACACACCACCATCACTTTCCCGTCCATACCCACCGACGTCCACCATCGTAAATCGATAGTTGGCATCACATGTTGCCATCAGCACAATGGAGTGAGTGCCCTTGTAATTTTGAAGTAGTCACTCCCTGCATTTGGTGGGGCTTTGATGGTCACATGTTTGCCATCCAGGCTCCCCACACAGTTTGGGAAGTTCCAAAGACACCAAAAATCTGCTGCGATGACTGCCCACTGGTTAGTTGAAGGACATGGCAGGTAATCTGGTTGGAGTGCTTCCCACAACGCGCTGCAGACCTCAGAAACAATCATCGACACTGTGCTGGATGCCATTTTGTAGATGGAAGCCACAGCCTGTTGACTGCTACCAGAACTCAAAACACGCAGAGTCACGGCCAGTCTCTGGGCAACATTGATCAGTATGCTGTGTGTCCCCTGGTGATGTATCAATGGTTTCAATCGCCGAACCAGCTCATCAAATCTGTCAACCGACATACGGAAATACCTGAAATGCATTTCTGCATCCATGTCCCTCAAAGGTTGCACAAGTCCAGAAAATTCGCCTGTTGTCGGCCTAGGCCTGTTTAGCGGACGGACATCCCACCGACGCCGCTGTCTCCTTTTATGTTCACGCTAGTATTTCAGCAGGATAAGCATTTCTTCATCTAGGTAACACTGTTCCAACTCGATCAAACTTCTCTGTCTCTTGTTGCTCGCCATTTTTCAGACTGCGAAAGTGATTTCCAAGGAAATAGTACGTCACTGTACGCTACGCCCTCTGTTGCCCTGGCGGAGAATTGCTTTGCAACACCCCTGCAGCAAAGGGAGAAGTATGAGAGCAAAACGCCTCCGTCAATCCGTGCGTGTCTGTCCCTTGCGGAGCTGACGGAGAAGCATAAACTAGGCTTTATTCTACGTGAGTGTGATGTAATCTTAGCATCCAGGAAATAAAGTCCCATATCAGCTCAAATGCAGAGTGACAAAGTCATTAAAGTGCGGCAACACAGTGGATTTAATAGAGTTTTAAAGAACAATCTCTGAGTGAAGTGAGGTTAGTTTTTTGTCTCACTGCAGATATAAAAACTAACTCTGCATCAGTCAGACGCAGCAAAGCTCACTGTCTGTATGAGCGTGAGTGTCGGAAAGCTGATAAAATCGGCTGTAAAATAATTAAAACAAAAGTAAAAATGCTCCTTTGCTTTTCAGAGTCCACATCCAGAAGGCTGGAGCCGTGTTTCACTGACAGGCTGTCAGACTAAAGCCCTGATGAGCTCAGCTGGGACAAACTGGTTTGATGTTTAGGTAAGTGAAGATCTGGTTCAAGACCTTGAAATGCTAGTAAAAAATAATTTAGCCAGCTTGCTAATGTTACTTTTCTTCTCCTCTAAAGCCTGATTTATGCTTCTCCGTCTGCATCAGTGCGGAGACACGCAACGCCATTATCCGTCCTTGCATAGGGCTCCGGCAGGCACGCAAGTACGTACGGAGTCGAGCCCACTTGTTTAAACATCCGTCGAACGAGATGGATTACGCAAGCTTGTGATTGGTCAGGACGCCGCTGTTGTTTACAGTGCCGCCATTGCAAAGAGAGCCGAGGATAACTAGCGGCAGACACGGAGAAGCTTGAAGACTACCTCGCGAAAAACTCTAAAATTTAGGGCTGGGACTTGATTAAACATTTTAATCTAATTAATTACAGGCTTTGTAATTAATTAATCTCAATTAATCGCATTTTAATCGTTCAGGAAAATGTGCTCTCAAAGTAAAACTTTTAATTAAAATGTTGAGACAGAGAATCAAACATTAGACATGGTTATTACTGTAAACTAAAGCTTTTAATAAAAAAAATGCATTTTAATTATTCAAATGTCACTGTGTGATATGAAACAAAACCCAAATCAACTAAAATTTATAATTACAAATAGAAGGTTCCTGAGCCTTTAAATAGTCTCTCTGTCTAGTTGAATGACTGAAATAAATGTGACTTTGCACCAGATTCAAATTTTTCCAGTTTCACTTGTGTGTATAATCGGGAGTTTTTATTAGCATTTCTACTCATAATGTAGTAAAAACACATAAATAATAATCCTTCAAAATGACAGTAGAGCAGGAACAAATATGATCTAGGACTTAAATGTACTAACTTTTAACACCAGAGCAGGCGTGACATATTCTGAGAATGATCAGGAACACTAACTGGTTTCAGTTGGATGACTGGAGGTTGATGGGATGATAAAAGATCATGGCGAGGAAATAATGATCTGACGAACAGGTGAGCGGACCTTCCTTACGTGGGAAGTCCTGATGTTAATAAGGGGATGCTGCAGACCCGCAGATTCACGCCTGCAGCAGCGAATCTGGTGTGATCTCCAGCCTGATCACAACTTTCTCGTTCCTCGCTGCCCTTGATGTACTTAAGCATCCGGCAGCTTCAAAACACCTCGCAGCGTAATGATAGTAATGCATGTGATGTTTAGACAGTGACTCATCTCAGAAACATAATACCCCGACAGCATTGTTTAGAAAATCATCAGAAAAGTTTCAGAGTGTTTCTGTTTTAACTTAAACTTCTGTTTTCAACTTTAAGACACGTTGTTTTTGACTGTTTACAGAGTAGTGAGAACACGGAGCGTTCTCCCAGCGGCAGCCAGGTGCCTCTCGTTTGTCTGACAACTTTCATAAACTACTGTTAGGGCACAGAATTATTCTATCTGGTGCTTTCAGCGCTGCACAGATGTTACGTAAATGTTAAAAATATAGCTTACCGCAACTTTTGTAAGTTTACAAATGTCATATTTCCCACTTTTTGGGACAATAAAACATTTCTGGTTCTCAATGAGATTTTTTTACTTCAAATGTAAAAACATCTCATTGAGAATCAGAAATGTTTTATTGTCCCAAAAGCTGGGAAATTTGTTTGCTGCAGCAGAAGTGTAACAAGTAAAATGGAATCAGATTGATGTATGTACAAATTTACTTAAAATACACATTTACGTGATTAAATATGTATAATAGGTATGTGTGTTGAAATTAGTTTTTACAGTTATTGCACATTAAACAATGTACATGTTATTAAACAAATGTCCCGGTTTGTGGGACAACCAAGGATTTCTGATTCTGACTGTCTTGTTTACAGAAATGTAATGTACAGCTTACCTCTGCACCCAGCTGCTATTCTCCCTGTCCAAACGTCCTCCGTTTCTTTGTTGGCTGCTGCACTGATGCGCTGCATTCCTCAGTCAGAGAATGAATGGAGTCCCCAATGAGACACAAGTTCCACATCCACCTTCTGTGGATCCCAGCCGTTTTGAATAACAAACACAGAAAGCAAAATAACGCATTAGCGTGATTGCATCCAGCTAGCCACTGCTTCCTGGTGTACCAATTTTGGGAGAAGCCTCGTGTGTACAGTTTACCCTTCTCCTTGTCCTGCTGGCTTATCTTTACGTCGGGCTGATCTGGTCCAAGCTCTTTGACATTAAGTTTTTCCACCATAGTTCTCCTCTCGAACGGATACTGGAGAAGAGACCGAACTGAATTCAGTGGCTGCTGAGATCCGGTATCCATGTTGTAGGCGCACTGGCGTCCATGTCTACGTCTGCATCATGACCGTCACGAGTCACGACCAAATACGTGCTGGAGTCGAGACTCTCCGAGTTCTACCGAACACCAACGAAACCCTTGGCGGTAGCTCTATCGCCCATCATGCTTCTGAAACGTTCTGAAACAACGTCAACGCTGATTGGATACATTCCCATTCCTACCCTTTGATTTTCTTGTCAGCAATTGGACAGCTGGTCTCGTCCTGTTTGGGCGATTGAAAAATAGCACACAGCCTCCACCGCTCGGCAGAGACCGGCAGAGATCGGCAGGGACCAGCAGAGACCAATATATATATATATATATATATATATATATATATATATATATATATATATATATATATATATATATATATATATATATATGATTTATTTTTGTTACAAAACACACAATTAACTTAGAATATGTGATTATTGTTAATTTTATTTATTTATTTTTTAAAATAAAAATTAAAAACACAGGGGAAACTGGGAGGGCGGCGCCCTATCGCCCTCTACTGGCCAGCCGCCACTGCTGCTGACCGCACCTGGAACGTAGGAAGGTGGAGCAGGTAGCTGACCACACAGTCTCTCCCAGTTGTTTGCTATCGAAAATCTCAAAGAAAAGACTAGAGGGATGCCCAAGATTTCAGCAGTTAAATTGCTTCCGGAATAGATGGGATCAGCCAGGAGAACGTCATAGTTTCCCTTCCTCAGCTTCTTCATGATGGGCTCTGATTTCACCACACCACCGTCCAAAAACTGGAGGGAAATCTCAGTGTTGATCTTGAACAATTCCATGTATTTGATGTAAAGCTGAAAGTAGTTCAGCAGCAGATTGCATGGAGTCACCCACTTTTTGTGTCAGAGGCTTTCTAGCAATCCCCACACTAAGCAAGCATGTTTCTATGTTAAAGAAAGCTGCATCAGTTACTCACTCACTCACACCCAGAGACATGTTAGGGTCACTAGTTAACCCTACGTGTGTGTGGGGGGAACCGGAGCGCCCGGAGTAAACCCACGCATTCATGATGGGGAACTAATTCTCCATCAGGAAGCCCCTATTTTTCTGGTGTGCTTGTGTGTGCTCTAAGGGGTGTTGCATCTAAGATTAGACATTCACTCACTCACTCACTCACTCACTCACTCACACAAAAATGTCTAAATTTAGAGAATGCTAATGCTAATTTTCGTGAGGTCACAGCTGGGGTTTAAACTGGTGACATCATCATGAAGCCTGAGTGTTTTGGGGGTCAGATGCTAATTTAAGGCCTAACTTTATGTTTCCGTAGACACGCCGGAGTGAGAAACTTCTTGAAGCGCCTCCACAATGAAACGTTCTGGTTCCTGACTGTTTGTGGAACGCTGTCTTTGGGGGAAGGCTCGTTTTCATGAAGACTTCTGCTTGCTTCCACTGAATCTATCTGTTCTTCAGGTGGAGAGCAAACATCATGTCCCATCTCGTAATCCTCGTCAGGCTCCAGACTCTCAGAAGTTTGTTCCTGAGGTTCACATAGAGAAGCTTCCTCTACCAGCTGGTACGTAAAGGCTTCCAGCTCCTCAGACAGCTCATCGTCTGGCTCAGGCGTGTTCTTCCTTGAGTTAAAGGTCTCCAGTTGTTCTGAGAGATCGTGGTTGATTTTCTCCAGATCTCTAATTTGTGTCTGTAAGTCCTCGTTGAACGAGTCCTTGTTCTGAATCTCCTGTCCCAGCCGGAGTTTCAGCTCTGACTCCTGTTTTAAACGCTGTTGCTGGTCTTCAATCAGATGTTCTCGTTCCTCCAGCTGAGTTTTGAGAGTCTGAATTGTTATTTTGAAGGTCTCTGCATTACTCTGGTAGTAATCCAGTCCCTCTTCTAGATCACTAATTTCTACCTTTAATTTCTCATAAACTTTGTCTTTGTTCTGGATTTTCTGCTGCTGATCAAACTTGGATCTCAGCAGCTCAGATTCCCGTCTGAGTCGCTTTTGGAGGTTTTCCAGCAGATTATCTTTCTCCTTCAGCTGTAAGTTTACCTCTTGCATCATTTTGTTGCAGGACTCTTCCTCACCTCGGTAATAATCCAGTTTCTGTTTGAGTTCATCAATCAGAGTTCTGGATTTTTTACACTCGCTCTCTACCGTTGAGCTTATTTCAGCTTGGTCACTGAGACTTGTGTCCAGGCGAGACAGCCGTAGGTGTTCCGAGCCGACTGTCTGGAAAAGGGAATCGAAAGTTGGATGCCGACATCCAGGCGACTCCTGCTGGACTGGCTCAGCTAATCTGAGACTCGGTCCCAGCTGAGTTTTGTCCTCTGAACTGGGTTCACATTCCCCACTGAGAGAAGCCTTTTCTCCGTCCTCCTCAGAAAGCTTCTCCTCTGCCTCGTTCGTCTCAGAGAAGATACTTTTCATCTCGTCTACCAGAACCCCGTTTATAATCTCTAAATCTCTGATTTGTTCATCTAAAGCCTCTGTGAGCGAGTCTTTATTCTGTTTCTCCTCTTCCAACTGCAGTCTCAGCTCTGACTCCAGTCCTAACTGGTTTTGCAAACTTTCAGAAACATTTAGTTTTTCCTCTAACTTAATTTTCAAAGCCTGAATTGTAGTTTTGCAGGTCTCAGCGTTAAGCTGGTAGTAATCCAGACGCTCTTTCAGTTCATTAATTTCTTCTCTTAGTTTCTGATGAACTTTGTTCCTAATCTGGTCGTTCATCTTCCCCTGTTCAAATCTACGTCTCAGCTGGGATTCCTGCTTTAAAAGATTTTGCAGATTTTCACACACAGTTGCTTTCTTCTTCAGTTTGGTCTCTAAAGTCTGCAGGGTGACTTTGCAGGTCTCTGCGTTGTCTTGATAAACGTCCAGTTCTTGTTCCAGGACGGTAATTATGTCGTTGTATTTTTCCAATTCAGTCTCTGCTTGTAATGTTTGCTGCTTTTCATCACTTAACCATTTCTCCGTGATTAAAAGCTGAGACTGGACTTTCTCCAAGAGCGCCATATGGGAAAAATAAATTTGGGGGTGTTTACACCCAGTTAATTCCCGCTGAAGCTCCTCAGATGAAAAATGTAGAATAGACATGATTCTAGAGGCTCTTGGTCTTTTATCAAACTCAGAAAAAAGGTTTGAGGTTGTAAAAGATGATTGTCTCAGAGAGTCGATGTGTCTCACACCAGCAGTCGACTGCTAATGAAGTGGGAGCTGGCTGATGCTAGATAATAGGACTCTGAGCCTTTATGACGTCACTTCAAAGGATCACGTGGGCGGGGTGAAAGAAGTAGTAGTAGTAGGCACTGGTGGTCATAGTAACCCAAATGGGCGGAGCCTAACTTTAATGCATTTATCTCAGTCTGGACCATCGACGCTCCAGTGTTAACATCAACAGCAGCACCTGAACGCCCCTTTCTTTAACTTTATATGTAATAAAAATGAACTTTAACCTGAACCAACGTATTTCTTTCAGAAAATGTAAAAAATATCTCTTTTTTTTTTCAAAATGTTAGCTTATAAGTCCTTTTGTCCCACATTTTGAATTTTTTTGTCATATTTTATTATTTATCTCAATTATAACATATTACAATAACACAACACCAATGTTTAAAATGCATCATTTTGGAGCAGCAGAGCTGTTTTTGTCAAAAACAACGTAAATGAGAAACGGGGGGGGGGGGGGGGGGGGGGGCTGTGTCACATTGAAGAAAATGTCGAGCAGAGCTAGAATTACGAAGCCCTCGACGTCCTCACCCAGGGCTGTGTATCTGTTTGAACTCTTGGGGCACCGGGGATTCTTGAGCAGAGAGGAGGAACAGCGCTGATCTTTGATGCGCTCCAGGCAACTGCGTCCTGCGCGCACGGCACATTGTCAAAGTGGCGCAACCCAAAAAATCTAATTAACCCACGGGGGCAAGGCTCTACAGCAGAGCCCCCCTGTAGATTCCCCCGTTTCTGACCTTTTGTGGGACTTGAGCGAGGGCAGAGGCGATCATGCCTTGTCTGTGGTCAGATTCTTGACAATAGATCCCAAAGAAAAGACCACGATGCCGTCATCTCCAGAGCTTTGGACAAACTTTTCGAAATACTGCAGGAACAGAGATTTTTAATTCTTTTAAGCAGAAAATTGTATTTTTTTAAATCAAAATCTGCTTTTTTATTCAATAAAACAGCTAATAAGATGTCTATTTTTGTAGATCTTTTTTTCCAGATCTTATTCTTTACATTAGGATTTAACCCTCTGGAGGTAGGCGTTGCAGATGTGCAACGTTAGAACCATTTTTACACTCAAAAGAAGGATTTAGTTGTTTGCCCTTTTATCAAAACTTGTTTTGAGCCTGAGAGGGTTAACTATGATTTTTTTGGTGTACAATTATGGAAAAAGCACCTTTGGTAATGGTTTAGCAGGTTTGCAGTGAATCCCTCCAACAAATTTGAAGTTGGGAAGTAATGGACGGGGAAAGTCAAAATCCCAGTAGGTTCTCAACAACCAGATGTCAGCATTACCCATCATCTTACAGGCACTGGTGGGTGTTCCTGAGAAAACAAACATGTTGATGATGACTGGATGAAATCCATTACGTAATTTTCTAGTCAGTAATTCTCACCTTCTTCCACATACACTGATCCAGAACTAAGTCCTGCAGGACGTAGAAGAGGACGTTCCACGTTCTCTCTGAGAAGTTAATCTTGTCTGTCAGTCTGCTGACCGCACCTGGAACGTAGGAAGGTGGAGCAGGTAGCTGACCACACAGTCTCTCCCAGTTGTTTGCTATCGAAAATCTCAAAGAAAAGACTAGAGGGATGCCCAAGATTTCAGCAGTTAAATTGCTTCCAGAATAGATGGGACAGCTGCCCTGGGGCGTCCTGACAGAGGCGAGTCTGCCATACGCAGGCGACGCCGGTCCCTCCGAACAACATTTAAATGAAACATTGTCCTGCTGTAGCCACAGACATGAAGAAACATTACTAATAAAACCATAAATAAATCCACTAATATCACTTCTCAGGTGCAGCATGACATTTGACCCCAAATTTCCTCCACACACCGACTTGAAAACCCTTTACAAGTGCAGGTCATTTATAACTAGTCATTTGGACAGCAGTAGCTCCCGAGGGAGAGCGGGTCGTTCAGTAATCAGAAGGTTGCGGGTTTAATCCCGGCTGTTTGATATTTTTCTAAACAGTTTGACAGAAGTTACTGAAACTTGAGCAAAAACTCAATGGTCAGAATTTAACATAAAAATGTGAAGTACAAACCATTTATTCAGAAGTGAAAACATTGGACACTGATGTTTTTCCTTTTCCTTTTTTGTAATAATAAAAACCCAAAACCCTATTTGATCACACAGAAGATAAAAAATACATCAAAACACTTTTGTTTTTTGCTTTTTTTAAACAGTTTCTTACTTCCCTGTTTTTACACAAGAGGTCAGTGGTCAAAAGACAGATTAAAATCTATATTAAGTCAGCCTTTCTATTGAATATTTAACTTTAATAAACCTGAGCTGAGTTTGTTATTCAGCCTTCCTCTTGGTGTTCCTTCTGCAGCAGCTCCTCCGGAAACAGAACCTGCAGGTCTTGTCGAGGAGGAACAGGAGCAGCAGAACCACAGAGAGCAGGAAGCTCAGGACATGCAGGCTGTGATACTGGTACCAGGTGAGCTCGTGGGCCTGGACCCTCAGGTGCTTTGCTCCTTTGTGCCTCATGGTGAACTCGATCCAGAAAACCGCCTCGTCCAGAGGACTCATGGGTCTGTCGTGGTGGATTCTGGACAGTCTCATAGCACTTTCTTTGTAGCTGTGGATAAACAAGTTAACATAAAGAGTTATTCATAATGTATTGTCAGAGATTAATTTTCATCTCACAAACTGGGAATAATGAAAGGCACATTTGTAGTTTTGTACATTTAAGCTAGGTTACTCTTTCGGGCCATACAGTAAAAATTTGCCACGAAAACAGGAAATTGAAGGGAAATATTTATTCTGGTAATAAAGTTAATGCTGACTCATCACCAAAAACAAAACATTTTTTTTAACCTTTAAAACAGACTTGGTGCGGAAATTTAAAAAATCTTACGTTGTGCCATCGATGACGGTGTTGATCGCATCTCTGAGGTCTTCAGATGTCAGTGAGTTTAATTCCACAACAACTGCAGCTCCTTTGGCTTTCATGTGCACCATGTTGTCTGGCTGGTTGTCATGGTCTGCGTCAGCCCCTTTTTTTTTTGTGCCTCCTGGTGTCCTCCATCCCTCTCTAGATTCCCTCTTGTGTCCCTTTGTTCCCCAGCTCCTCTTGTGCTCCACTCCAGGTTCCCCCCTTGTGCTCTCTTAGTGCCCTCATGTGTCCTTGTCTGCATCCCTGTTATGTGTCTTATGTTGTAGCCCTTTGGCGCCCTCGTGTGTCCTTTTTCTGCATGTCAGTTTAGTGTCTTATGTTATCTTATCTACCCTTTCCTCCCAGGTCAGCTCCAGTCTCGTTCTCCCCAGCTCAGTGTGTGTGGGTGTATGTGCTATGTCCTCCTCCAGCTAGTTTGTGTGAGTCCTTCCCTCTGTCTTTTGGTAATATTTGTTTAGTTTTGTGTTTAGGTATTTGCCCTCCTCTGTTTCTGTTTTTCCCCATTGAGTTGATTAGTGTCACCTGCCTTCCCTCCAGCCCTTACTCCACACACCTGCTTCCTGTTTCCTTAATTTGTCTCCCAGTCTATTTAAGCCCGGTATTGTCTCTGTCTTGTGTCGGTCCATTAACGTATCTGTATGTTAATACTGTCAGTGTTTGCTCGTGCTCTTGGTGAGCTTTGTTTCTCCAGCCTTGGAGTTTTTGGACTTTGGCTCGCTGCCTGGATTTACTCTTGTTCCGCCTTCAAAATAAAGGATTTTACTTTTCATCATCTCTGCCTCGTGTCATCCTGGGTAACTACATAATTGGGTCCTAACATCCTCAGAACGTGACACTGGTCAGCAAAAACTGGAATTCCCACCATGGGAACGCCGTGATAGATGGCCTCATAAACCCCGTTTGCACCTCCATGAGTGATAAAAGCTCTAGTTTTAGGGTGACCTGATGACGGGAGAAAAAGTTTACCGTATTTTCCGGATTACAAGCCGCTACTTTTTTCCCCACGCTTTGAACCACGTGGCTTATAATGAGGTGTGGCATTACTGAAGGTTTTCCTTCACCTGCCACCAGGGGGCGCTTTAGCAGGAAGTGAAACAGGTGGAAGTCAAAAGTGGAAATCGAAGAAAGTGCTCATTTTAATTTAGCACATTCAAGCAGCCGGCACGACGAAGAATTTGTTTCAAATCCATACCCCCTCATCATGGTAACTACACGTATGAGTTCATATGATGCCGCATTCAAGTTGAAGGCCATCGATCTAGCAGTAAAGGAGGGAAACAGTGCTGCCGCATGTAAGCTTGGCATGAATGAATCCATGGTTCGGCGCAGGAGACGGCAGCGGGAAGAACTCATTCAAGCCAGCTTCACCCGGGGATGATGACAGCAACACGGACAGTGACACTGACATCGCCACAGAAATATGTGATGAAGCTCTTCTGAGGCTGTTCAACTCCGACACTGAAGAAGAGAACTTTAATGGTTTCAGCGCACAAGAGGAAGATGAATAAACTAATTCGATAACTTTTCTGTTTTGTTTCATACTGATCAGTTCAGTTACGTTCAGTTAAACTACGTTTTCAATTCAGAGATCAGCTGCTTTTAGCCCGGTGCGGCTTATATTGAGGTGCGCTCTATAGTCCGGAAATTAAGGTAATTAACTTTAGAGAAGAAGATAAAGTATTTTATTTAAGACCTTTATTTGAATAAATACACACTCACCTAAAGGATTATTAGGAACACCACACTAATACGGTGTTTGACCCACTTTCACCTTCAGAACTGCCTTAATTCTACGTGGCATTGATCCAACAACGTGCTGAAAGCATTCTTTAGAAATGTCAGCCATATTGATAGGATAGCATCTTCCAGTTGGGAGATGTGTGGGATGCACATCCAGGGCACGAAGCTCCCGTTCCACCACATCCCAAAGATGCTCTATCGGGTTGAGATCTGGTGACTGTGGAGGCCGTTGTAGTACAGTGAACTCATTTTCATGTTCAAGAAACCAGTTAGAAATGATTGGAGCTTCATGACATGGTGCATTATCCTGCTGGAAGTAGCCATCAGAGGATGGGTACATGGTGGTCGTGAAGGGATGGACATGGTCAGAAACAATGCTCAGGTGCCCAGTTGGCACTAAGGGGCCTAAAGTGTGTCAAGTAAACGTCCTCTAGCATCAACAAGGCATTTTCGCCCACAGGACTGCTGCATACTGGATGTTTTTCCTTTTTCACACCATTCTTTGTAAACCCTAGAGATGGTTGTGAGTGAAAATCCCAGTAACTGAGCAGATTGTGAAATACTCAGACCGGCCCGTCTGGCACCAACAACCATGCCACGCTCAAAATAGCTTAAATGACCTTTCTTTCCTGTTCTGACCTTCAGTTTGGAGTTCAGGAGATGGTCTTGACCAGGACCACATCCCTAAATGCATTGAAGCAACTGCCTTGTGATTGGTTGATTAGATAATTGCATTAAGGAGAAGTTGAACAGGTGTTCCTAATAAACTTTTAGGTGAGTGTATCAAGTGCAAAAGTTTGACTAAGAAGCAAAAATTAAATTATTTTCAACTTGATTGTCTCTTTTTGCATCAGTTTTTAAATCTGATGTTTATATTTACTCACCCAGCAGGTCATTCTGTGGAATCCATGAGTAGAGTTTAGTGTTGGACCCCAGAGTTTCGGGAGTGTTCCCACTGTATTTCCACAGCACCTACAAACCATAACAACACTTTTGATCAAGTCTGCATCATTTTTGTCAGAATTTCAGAGATGTTCCTGACCCCTGACCTTTTGTGGGACTTGAGCGAGTCCAGAGGCTATCAGGTTTGCCTTGTCTGTGGTCAGATTCTTGACCACGGCCCCTAAAGAGAAGACCACGATGCCGTCATCTCCAGAGCTTTGAACAAACTCTTCTATATCCTGCAGAGGGATGAACACGTAGAAGTAAACGGCACAATTAGGCTGTCATCTTCAAGTGGTGCTCGCTGCAGAACCACAAAGGCGGAGCTGCACCAGAGTCAGCCCCATCAGTCAGTCCAATTCCTTCCAGTTGTCAGACTTGATAGCATTCTGGAACCAAAGAGGGTGTTATAGCTTATATCATCTAAAATGCAAGATTGAGGACGGAGCTGAGGTTCCATATAATTAAAAATCTAAATTTTGGAACTTTTTACCATGTTTTATTGTCATTTCCTCATAAGAAACATGCCAAAGCCATTTTTAGCCTCATTCATGCATTTTCCTCCCATCTCAGCTTCAATTTGGTCTCCTTCCCTGAAGCGGGTCTAGTGTTGGTTCTCAGATCTGGATATTCTGTGAATTTTCTGACAAATTATTTCTGAAATGACTTCTACTGAGACACTGCCGAATAAACTATACATCCCATCTACAAAGACACGCTTGAATCCAAAATTACATGTCACGCCATGTTTTCTATCAGATGTGGTGGACAAGTGGTTATGGAGTCAGTTTGACATGTAGTTTTGTGCAGGTTCGCCTCCCAGTAGCGGCAAAATAGAGGTGATTTGTAACCCTTTTTCTTCTTTTCTAGCTATACTTGCCAGTACTATGTTTACAACAATTTATTGGTATACAGTTTAAAATATAATGACTAATGTGTTTTTTATTTATTCGTTTATTTAGCCAGTGTTTGTGAGCAGAGTTTCGACTAAAATGCTGTTTAGGAACGACCAAATTCAAAGAACTTTTAGAGACATACATATTTTTTTGCAGAAAATAAACATTACAACTAAAATATGAACAAATTAAATGTTTCAGCTGGCTAAATAGATTGCTGCCGAGCCCACAGAGAGTCGAACCAGCATCAGCTGAGGGGAAAGCAAAACTTAAATCTTACAAACTTGCCACTGGACTACCAGAGGACACAATGACTGTGTAGGCCGCTTTAATTAGAGCGGCTATGGGCAGATATTTGCTGAATGAAACCTTTTTGTTTCGGGATATATTCAGGCTTTGTCATGTCGCAGGTTATATTTATCTTGTTTAATTGGAGCATATACATAGCATTAACAATTGTAAACTAGTAGCAGCCGTAATTCATGTGGGTCAGGTTAGTTTGCGATAAAGTTGAAAAACAAAAACAGAAGAAGTCAGTGGGCTAGGCTGAGTTTGCATGAATGGGCGGGGCTGACTCTGGTGCAGCTCCGCCTTTGTGGTTCTGCAGCGAGCACCCTCTCCAAAAACAAGCTGCAAAGAGCGAGAAGGAGCGAGAAGAACAAGCACCATCCGTCTAGGCGGATGGTGCTTGTTCTTCTCGCTCCTTGCAGCTTGTTTTCTCATGTTTTCTCGCGCTCACTCCCAGAGTCCAAGTGCGTAGGTTCGACTCCCGCTCGGTGCGAATACAAAGTGGAAATAAAGATAAAGTGATAATATGCATAATAATACTTATTCATATATACTACATACTAATAATACAAATTATATAAATCTTTTTAAATAATTACCAATTTAAATGTAGTTAAAATTGGGATGAACCACTGAGCTGTGAAATATATTTGTGATAATACACATGTAAAATTATAGAACATATATGACAAAAATCTGTTCAAATATATTTGTTATGTTATAAAAACATGTAATAAATGTATCTGTGTTCAAATATATTTGTTATGTTATAAAAAACATGTAATAAATGTATCTGTGTCCAAGGTCATAAAAATAGTCTAATATTTAAAGTGTGTATCATTTTAATACTGAAAATCACAATAATAAAAACATCTAAAAATTATTTACAATATTTACAAGTTCCAAAATTGAAAAAAAAAAAGAAGAAAATGTCACAAAAAGTCACTGTTTTTCAGGCCCTCCTCCAGTCTTGCTCTTCATCTCCTTCTTCCACTCCTCTACAGACTTCCCGCCAACAGATGCGCAGTACGACACACCTGCAATGCGGGTGTGGCCAGTGTCCAGCCGCTTGGGCTGACCACATTTGCTGCAGGTGAACTGCTGGCGGGCTGTCTTTGATGGTGGAGCCTGCACGCCAGCAGCAGCAGCAGCCTCCGCTGCCTTCCTCCTTCTAAATGCTGTTGTCCTAGGCAAAACAACAGGAGGAGTCAGCGGAGTGGACCCCGGGAAGGGACGAATGGCGCGCAGGCTCTGAGCAGAAGAAGGAGGGAGGTTGCAGCTGGTAGAGGGACCGGGATGAGGAGCAGGTGGAGGTAGTGGTGGCGGTGGCAGTCCCCTGGAGGAGGGACCAGGTTGTTGCTCCTCAGGGAGGTTGTATTTAAAGGGCTGTCCTCTTCCCACCTGTACGGAGGACAGCCCTTTCACAGAAGGGATGGGCTGGTGGGAGAAAGTTGGAGCAGAAACGGTGCCAGTTCCCTGCTCCAGCACACCTTTCTCCCACCCCTTCTGTCTATGGCTGAACCTGGAAGGACAAGAGGATGAGCTGAGTTGAGGCTGCAAGCTTTAACCTGAAGTCTGAAACACGAGCAAAGATCTACCAGTTCTCACCATTGAGAGATGGTCTTCTGGTTCAGCTCATAGAGATGAAGCTGGGTCTGAGCCATCAGCCTCGGGCAATACAGCACCACCTGTCTGACGGCCATGTAGTCGTCGCGGATTAGGAACCAGCGTGACCTGCTGACCCCGTCCACGCGACTGGCCGCAGGGTGCAGACGGCAGAGCCGGCTGCACATGGCCTCCACCACACGGCTGGCGTCTAGCCTCTCCCGGCATCTGCTAGGGTAGACGATCCGTCGTTTGTCACGCTCTGGCAGGCGTTGCCAAAGCACGATGAGTCTGTCTACCCTGCTGTCAGACAGTCCCTGGAGACTCCTGAGCTCCACCAGGGCCTGAGCCAGCTTCAGGACATGCTGGTATCCTGTCTGGCCGTCAGGACCCAGGATCTCCTCCTGAGCAACAAAGAAAATGGGAAAAAGAAGTCAAATTTCTGAAATATCTCTGAATACGTGAAAAAACAAAATTAGGTGGGTCAGCTGTGAAATGATTAGCAGAGGGGGGATCAAAGACCTCTGAATCAGAGGAGTGTTTCTCTTCAGGAGTCTGGCTTCCAGGGACCTCGGGAGGGGCGTGATGCGCAGGGGCGGCAGGATGTGCTGGCTCAGACCCGGGTGCGGCAGCTGGATCCCCTGACCGGGCTGCTCCTGAAGTGCTGGTGGCTGGGTCGTCAAGGACGAAGGCGGCGACGTAGTCGCCCACGTCCTCCTGTGTGCCCTCGTCCAGGTCGGTGACGGCAGCAGCCTCGTCCGGAGCGTCAGGGTCCATGCTGATGTCCTCAAGCATGCGGCCTGTCTGCTGGAACAGGTACTCCACCCCGATGAGCTCACCTGAGATTTTGTGGAAATGTAAACGGTTCAAAGCTCCTTCTTAGCAAAGTATTGGTGCACAGTGTCATTAAAAGTCACGAGTAAATAAAACGTGTTCCTCTGTTCGTCTACCTGTGTAAGCAGCAGGCTTGGTGAAGTCCTTAACCATCTGATGACCAAACACCCTTTGGCTCTTCTGGTTCAGGGTGTGCCTGAGGTGGCCACTGTAGGACAGCAGAGGCGCCTCGTGTCCCTCAGCTGCCGCTGCGCGGTCCTCGTTCCACCTGACCAGTCCATCAATCAGGAACGCCTGGAAGTACTTGGCACTGGCCGACGTTCCTGTGTGATTAGATTATAAAATCAGCTTAAGCTTTTACTGACACCTGAAAATGAAGAGTTTACAGAAATAAAACTGATTTCTTGACAGACTCTGGTTTCTCACCTGGGATGAAGCGGTTCAGGTGGAGATGGAAGGACTTCAGGGAAGTGGAGCCCCTCGCGCAGCGATAGACGGGCAGCCTGACCCCTCCTTTTTGCAGACTGCCCGTCTGGGTGTACAGCTGCATGCCAGGGGGGTCCTGGATGCAGCTGAGGTGGCGCCTCTGCGTGTCCCAGATGTCCTGGATGCGGAGAGCGTTTAGCAACGGGATGTTCAGCGTGTTGTGTCCTGCGGGCCCTCTGAAGGTGTCAAGGAGGTTTTGGATGAGGAGCGTCGACTCCTCTGCTCCACGCGTCCTCCTGCGGCAGTGGAGCCTCCATTCCTCCTTGCTGATCCGCTGGATCACATCAGCGTCCGTCAGGTTGACCATCCCGTGCGTCCCCTCCAGCTCGGACCGCTTGGCTCCCACGAGACGGCGAGCATCTTCGGCGTCCACCTCAAAGATGCAGTAAGACAGCTGCCTCATGAAGGTGGGATACAGCTCGTGGCTCTCTGTGGTGACACCTGATGCGAAGCGGCGCATCAGATGCCAGATGTCCAGCCGAACAATGAGCCGTTCCCACTCCTGCGACAGAGAGGTTAGTCATTGGAGTGTTGCACACCATGTTTTACCTGCACCACAGTCAAGATCAGAACCCCAAAAACATTCACTGCTCTATAAATTGTCTTTTACAGAAATTTATTTGGGTGTCTGATTGTTTTAAATTTTTCAGAAAGACATTGGGTAGAAATTCAGGTGACCTGGTGATCCATTAAAGTAATTCACAACAAAGTAACGAATCATTGCTATGAAAAATTAAATAAACAACTAAATAAGTCAGTCAGCAACGATGCAAGTTTATACCGGAAATAAGGCAGCCGTCTTGGACACGCCGTCCTGTCTGCAGCAGTCGTGGTCCACATAGATGAGCTGGGGGGCAGGTACCTCGGCTAATCGGTACCGCCTCATCAGTCCGGCCGCCATCTTGGACAGGCCCTCGGAGCCCTCGCAGCAAGTGAGGACGCTCATGAGGACCTGGCCGTGCTCGTTGCCCACGTTGGTAGCCCAGGCGGCACCTGCGAGCTTCTTCGTCACCTGCACACAGAGAACTTCCTGCGTAAAGACCAGCAGAACTGTTGTTCACAAGCAGCAAGTAAACACAACGCGGTGACCGACCTTCTTTGTGGAATCCATCTTTAGGATGGATCCGAAGGTGGACGTGATCCTGGCCTTGTACTCGTCCAGCCGCGTCAGCACGTCGTAACCGTAAACGGTCAGCAGCCAGACGGGTGAGGGCACAGGGGGCATCTGGGGAGGTGGTGCGATCTGCCCCCTTGTGGTACCCAAGGCCAGGAACTGCTCGCAGACGCCGAGGTACTGAATCGCTCTCCGCATCCAGGCGTCGGAATGCTGCTCCTGCAGGGTGTTGCACAGCTGAGTGGCACTGTTGCCCAGAGTGCGAGATCTCAGCATAGCAACCACCCTCTGGTCACAGGACAGCCTGCGTGAACAAAACAAACATTACCACATTAAACTCTGCTGGACACACCCGCATGAGCACACAGTTTCACTTCTCTCATACTTGTACGTGAGGACAGCTGGGAACTGGCAGCTGTAGGTGGGGGGCAGCTGCCTTAAGATGCCCTGTGACCACCCTCCGACCTTCTTCTTACATCGACGGCACTCCAGGTACTCAGTGGCCATGAGATACCAGCCGTCGATGTCCAGGACCCTCCGGATGGTCCTGTAGAGCCCAGCCTTTATCAGGATGCCGCTGCACAAAGGCTGGGGGCACGTCAGCTGCAGGTGCCACATCCTGTGAGGCATCCACAGGAAGAGCCGACATGCAAAGAAGGGGTCGGGAGAGGCGGGAGGCTGATTGTAGACCGCCCGGGGCTGGGGAGGGTACCACCAGGGACTGAGCTCCGTGATGAGATGCGGCCTCCCAGCACGGTCCCTGGTGAACAGCACCCGGCCGATCCACTCCTGCTGTTCTGCAGTCAGAGCTGCCTGCCAGGACTCAGGCAGCATCTAGAGAGAGAGAAAACAAAGCAGCAGAGTAAGAAAGGCGACTCGGGTTGCAGTCACCAACTCTTGTCATGTGTCTATGCCCATATATGTCTGCTCTCAGAATTGTGTACTGAAACTAAGTTCCCTCTGGGATTAATGAAGTTTCTTTGAATTGAATTAATGTCTGATGCCTCACCTTAGAGCTGGCAGCAGGAGGTGGGGGAGGGAGGACTGGAGCAAGGAGCTCTGGAGATTCCTGCATGGCCTCCAGGAGTTCCTCGTCTGTGGGTTAGGGTTAGGGGTATATTTTTTAAAGGCTCCATTTAAAAATTTATTTTCACATTTTCTTGCTGTGATGTTCAATTCTCCTATTAATAAATTAGGAAGTGGTATTGAACATTAGAGAAGAGAATTGTGTTTTTTACCATTTGTATCAAAGTCACTGGTAGAGCCTTACATACTTTCTTATATTCCTGAAGAGAACATTGAATGTTATTAAATTTGTATTCAAAATTATGTAACTGTAGTATTTCACCATCTTTATCCATAATATCGTGTACAAAGATAATTCCTTGATCAAACC